TTAAAAAGAAATAGTTAATGAACCGTCTTTATGATGACATTCCCTATTTACAATGCGCAATGCTTTGAGACGTGCAAAAAGTACTGTCATACGCTACCTCATTAAATGCCATCCAATCATGGATGAGAATGTTATAACCGAGTTTCAACAACCTAGGTTAAGGTAACATTATGTGATTACATGATCATATGCATAAGTAAATTAAAAATGCATGAATTGTATGTGTATATGCATGAAACTGTGCATGCATATGAAGGTAATTTTGTGCATGTCTTTGCTAAGGTGCTTAAGTGTTTGGAATCAAGAAAATAAAAATCACGCATTATAATATTATAACCAGCACCTTCTTGATTAAGAAAGGTAGGTTTTAAAAATGTTAAAGCTTCCACCGCCCAGGAGTTTTATATTAATAAAATAGCAACACCGCTGTTAGGATCCAAGCGCTTACCACTACGCCAAAAGCAATTGCTGGTGGAGAAGGCGCAACTTATTTCCTTATAGCGTAGCAGCCAGCACCACGTTTCGATTTAGGAAGATGCTGGTCAATGACCCAACAATCCCCCCCCCAGCATCTGTCAGCACTAACAAGATCTTCGCTAGAAGTCAATGGCTGCACAACATGCCTTTCGCATTATTATGCACTCCATGGGATTCGAACCCGTGACCTGCTCTGATACCACATGTTAGGATCCAAGCGCTTACCACTACACCAAAAGCAATTGCTGGTGGAGAAGGCGCAACTTATTTCCTTATAGCGTAGCAGCCAGCGCCACGTTTCGATTTAGGAAGATGCTGGTCAATGACCCAACAATCGCCTCAATAAGAAATATAAAAAAGGAAGAGATAAGGTAAAAACCTTATCTTATCTCTCTGTTTTTGGGAAAAGGAAGTATTTTGAGAAAGGAAAGAGCTTGAGGCGGTAAAAGTGTTCTTGAAGAAGAACCTGTGTGTGGTTGAATTGTTGTGTTTAAACCTGCAGAATCTATTTTGTTAAGGTGAGTTTTGATGAACTAAAACCTTTATATTTGTAGTTATATAAACTGTTGGGTCTGGGAATTTGTGATTTTAAAATAGTTTGATAAAAATTGTTTTCTAACATTTTGAACGAAGTGTTGATGATTAGGAGTTTTGAAACTGTTTTGAAAAGATAAAACAGTAACTGTGCTTTAAAACAGTTTTGGAAAGTTGATATTATGTTTTAAAAGATTTACAAGAGATTTGATATGTGGAAACTTATGAAAGAACAAATTGTTCTTGAGTTTTAAGGTTTGATGATTGTTTTTGGAAACCATTAATGGTGGAAAACTATGGAGGAAGTTTCATCAAGACGGTTGTGACTTCGGTCTGTCTTTGTTTGGAAATAATCCATAGATTTTGATGAGGAAATAAAGATGACATATCAAGGAGAGGTGTACCTTGGGATAAGGGTGGTATATCAAGGAGAGGTGTACGTTCGGTTATAAGGTGGCATATTAAGGAGAGGTGTACCTTTGGATATAAGGGTGGCAATTGTGTGTGGTTATTATAGCTCTTGCTATTATGTCTTTTAAGATTACAATAGATTTGAGCACTTACTTCTTTGTGATTTGAGGACTTAGAGATGTTGTTCTTATTAGAGATGATAGTATTGATGTTATTGAGAAGGGGAAAACTTGGCTTACGGCCATTGATTTTGGATATAAACTATTTTAGATCAAATGTTTGGATACAGAGGAACCAGAGAGGCTCTGGTTGTTCCTTGAAAGGAACCAGAGGGGATCTGGTTGGTCCTCATTATAGAACCAGAGGGTTCTGGGTGTTGATCTTGGAAATTATGCAAAGTCTTTACTAAATGTTTTAGTTGGACCCGAGGTTTTGTATCTATAGATAAGAGCTTCTGTGTCAAAATCATATTTTAGGAATTTTCAAAAAGAAGTCTTATACTTGAAAAGTTTTATTACAAAGTAAGACAGACTAGAAGCTCTGGTTGGCCTATGCGGGTTGGACCAGAAGCTCTGGTTGGTCTTACATTTTGAACCAGAAGCTCTGGTTGGTCTTACATTTTGAACCAGAAGCTCTGGAAGACCATTTTGAACTAGAAGCTCTGGTTGGTCATACATTTTGGAACAGAAGCTCTGGTTGGCCTACGTAGGTTGAACCATATGCTCTGGTTAAAGTTTTGTGTTTTGAGCCAGAAGCTCTGGCTAGTAGAACCAGAGTTTTGGTCATACAAGATCTTTTCGAAAATGTATTTCTGTATTTGGAAAAGCTATTTTATTATCTATGAGATTGATCTATGAATTATTTGAGAACTCTCACTGAGTATGAGGCTCTGGTTGGCTCAGAAGCTCTGGTACAAGAACCAGAGGAGCTCTGGATCTCTTGTTTGTTAAAATATTTGCTAAGTCTGTCTATGAAACCAGAGGTCCGATGGACTCAAACAGAATGTGGTTTTACATGTTGAAATGTGAAATGATCTTATTTGAATAACTATTTTGATGCTTATCACCCTGCAACTACATGGAAAAAAGGAATCTCACTAGGCCTCTAGGCTTAACCCTCAATTTTGTGTTTTCAAATATGTGTTACAGGAAATGCAGAATATAATGATAATAAAGGAAAAGGGAAAATGTGAATTATTTTCCTATGTATTTAGCTTTATGAAGACCATTTTGGATGTGTTTTGAAGAATAGATGTTGTCGATACAAAAGCTTGTATTTTGGAATTTTTGAGTTGTGTATTTTGTATTGCAGACTCTTGTATTATGGACCTTTGTGGGCTTGAACATGTATTCTATGAATTAAATATGTGTTATATGCAATGTGAGTTTTGGGAGTGTTATAGAGTTGGTATCAGAGCCTGAGTTTAAGGGATTTAGGTATCCACATGCATAATTCCTATACTTGAACTGTTTCATAGCATATTAGGGTCCCAAACATAGTTAGCACCTTTTGAATAAATATGATAAGTTAAGAGATCAATGTGTATCTCTACTCTTTGTCTAAAAGAAATACCCACTTTAACAAGTGAAGTGCACATTTCTTCTTACCTTATTTATTATAGCAAATCTTTTGTTATTGCTATCTGTATTTTGTATGTATCTTAGATTGTTTAGATAGGTTCTGTATTCTATCTCTTCCGCAAACAATCTATAAAATTTGTATTGATCTTCTTTATCAGTATATAATTTTTAAAATTGAAAGTTACTGTGTTTGTATTCATCCTCCTTGTAGATCTCGCTGGACCAATAGGACTACCAAAAGTAAAGTTTGAGAAAGATAATCTTTGTTATACATGTGAGATGGGGAAACTCAAACGATCCTCTCACAAGGCAAATACTGACGTTTCATGTGTCAAACCTCTGCAAATGCTTCATATGGACCTTTGTGGTCATATCTCTGTGCAAAGCATGTCTGGCATGAAATATATCCTTGTATTCATTGATGATTTCTCAAGTTATACTTGGATTGAGTTTGTAAGGAAGAAACAAATGTACCAGAGATATTGATCAAGCTAATGACCAATATTCAAGTCCTCCTATAGAGAAAAATTCAAAAGTTGAGAAACGACAACGGTACAGATTTCAAGAATTCAAAAATTGACGAGTACCTTGCCAAAGACGGAATTTCCCAAAACTTCTCAGTAGCAAGAACACCACAACAAAATGGTGTTGTAGAAAGGAGGAACAGAACCTTAGTTGAAGCTGCACGAACAATGCTCGTAGTATCTGGTCTTCCAACCCTATTCTTGAGGCTTAAGTAATATGCATTAATAAATAGTACTTTACGCATAAAAAGTGGTTTTTTATGAGTTTTTGTCAAATGTTTTATCATATAGTATATATTATGTGTTTTTAAGAAATCAATAATGATTTTATTTTTGAATAAAATACAAATTTGAAAAAGAATATATCAGTGTCAATATCAAATCAACTATTTAAAAGTTTTCATTTTTTATGTAATTTATTTATTTTTATTATAATTTAATTTAAGTTTAATAATGAAATAAATTTATTTTTGGATCAATAATATAACATTTTATAAAGATAATAATTAAGGGGGTGTTCGGGATTGCTTATAAAAACTGATTTTTAATTTATTTCAGTCTGGCACTGGTGATAAGCTATTTTTTGGTGTTTGGATAAGAAAAAAAACTGCTTATACCGGTGCCAAACCGATAATAAGCTATTTTTGATAAGTTAATCATTCATGACTTATGAAAAACTGCTTATTACCAGTTTATAATTTTAACCCTGTTTTATTTAATTCCAGTTTGATACCACATAAGTTAATAAACACTTTTACAAAAATATTTAAGTTGTTTTAAATAAGCAATCCCAAACACCCTCTAAATATTCTGTTAAAACTCAATAATTATCCTAATTATATTTCAGATTTTTTATATTTAAAATGAGATATTTATCCTGTATTTGATTACATTTATCTACAATTAGTTATAGAAATTCAGATATGGAGCTTTAATAAGTTGTACTTACGCATAATCTACTTGTACTCTTGAGTTTTAAGTAATATGCATTAATAAACAGTATTTTACGTATAAAAATGGTTTTTAAGAGTTTTTGTCAAATACTTTATAATATAGCATAAATATTTATTATTATTATAATATTAAAGATGATTTTTAATGCAGGATTATAATCGATGTTTTTTTGGTTATTTAAAACCACTTATGTTTTTTTGTAAAAGTGCTTATTAACTTATGTGATATCAAACAGAGTTAAAATTATAAACTGGTAATAAACAATTTTTCATAAGTCAGGAAGAATTAACTTATCAAAAACAACTTATTATCGGTTTGACATCGGTATAAACAGTTCTTTTTCTTATCCAAACACGAGAAAACAACTTATCACCAATGCCAAACTAAAATAAATTAAAAAACATTTTTATAAGCAATCCTAAACTCCCCTCAATATATCTAATGTTTTAATGTTATTTTTGTAATGGTCTGGTCGAAGTCCGGTTATAAATAATTACATGTGACCCTTGATCGAACATGATGCCAGTGGTCACCCTCGTCCCTGAACCCTAGACATCAATAGAGGCGCAACAACTAGGAGTAAAAGAAAGATAAGATCGCAGACGCAGAATAGAACAAAAGAGTTGGGAGATTCAGGTAATTTTCAGATTAGTTGATTCATAGTTGTATTGATTATAGCTTCCTTGTTCATACACAAAGCGTCATGAAACAGAAAGGTCTAATGATCTATTGATCTGTAATTCAGATTTGTTTCATGCCCCTTTACGTTGCTATCGGTTTTAGTTTAGATTTGGGGTTAATTTGGATGTATACATTTACTATGGCTACATATCGTTATTTATGATATATCCGCCATGGTGGAGGTTCTGCAACACGGCATAAGGGTGGCTAATGCCTAAGGGTAAGGGGTTGTTGAGCAACTACCCCTAGCAACCCCTAGCAAGTTTCTAATGTAAAGTTATTAGGGAATTGTTACATTTTGAACCAATCATAGTATCATACTACACCATTAAAACTTCGACTACGTTTATGTTGAGTTTGCAACAAACCCATTTCGATTTTGCATTTGGTAAGTGCTAGGCTTGAGATTCAGAGTAAAATGATTAACTTTTGCCTTTGGAATGAGGGAGTAGTTCAAGTTGCGGCAGTATGAATTCGTTTCATGCATGCCCTATTTCCTAACTGATTGTCATGTTATATCGTTCGGAAGTGACCAAAAATTCCCAGATGGTCGTTCATGATGATTGGCTTTCATTATTTTAATATTGAGGACACTAACTTTGCTACCCTCGTACCTGTAATTTCTTTGTAGACTAAGGGACGTTTACCAAACACTCAGGCTTACGTAAAATTCCACTATCTTTACCGGGTAAGATTTTGTTCAACAAAAACGGCATCGTATGCAACAATTTACCCGGTAAGCACTAATCGTGGTAAGAGTCGTCGCCTCCACTTACCAAGAAGGGTTTAAAGCATGAGCTATGAGGGAGAAGTTTTAAGATCTGGGTATTTATAAAGGAGGCTGGAGTTCTAAGGATTGGGCATTTAATATTAGAAGTTGACTTATGCTATCTATTTAATAACACTTGTAAGAAGTCTAGGAGATGTGGAGATGAAAAACTTATTCAATATTAGGGTTTGACTAGGGATTTAGTAACACTTTGTGAGGCGTGCCTAGGCCCACAAGACACCTTAACCGAGGCACATCGCCTTAGTGGGCCTTGTGAACACACCTAGCCTCGACTTTAAAATGCCCAAGACCTTGAGCCTTATGAGCCTCAGAGGCGAGCGTGCTTTTAACAATTATGCCTCAAGTTGTAAAATCTTCAAACTGTAGGTATTGGGTTGGAATTGGGTTAAGGTCATTTGAACCCAACCCGACCCAATGAACTTGATAAATTTTTCTCTTTAGATTTAAAATGATTTCTAAGTCTCTTATTGATATGAATATCAGACAATTAGATCATCACCCTCTTCATATACATATACGTTGAATCTCTTCTTTGTCTCTATATAACTCCTGCATTTGTTTTTGTATATATGTTCTGTCAATGTGACCATATATATGCAAATTAAGTAAATAGTTGAATGTGATTTGTTTAAGGAGGAGCATGGATAAGTTGCACCAATTAATTGATGATAAATAAAGGAATTATGGGTAGAGAAAACACCATATCCAAGGTAACAAACACACGAGAATATTTTGATGTATCAAAATTTCAACCAACCAACCCGTCCGCATGGTTTGAGTTGGATTGTATTTTTGGTTGAATTGGGTTGGGTTGAGATTTTTCATACTGCAAACATTGGGTTATTTTGTTCAAATGTCTTCAATCTGATCAACCCAACCCGTGTCACCCTAGCTGTATATGGGTTCTTTTTAATATTTACTTTAACCCATGGAAGTGTGTCTAGATTAAATCCCTGCCGGTGCTTGTGTTGGGTGTAGATTGTATTAGTTTTCGGGGCTACACTACAGTCTACTCCTACTGTAATTGACTTATGATATAGTCTTTTGTGGTGAGATGCATGAAACAGTTATCTTGGAATGTCTACAGAACAGGAGAAATTATAATATTTACATTTATGAATGTGCTTAAGAGTTAGGCTCTAAATTGCACTTTTGATCCTTGAAATGCCAAACAAAATGGGTCAAATATATAATTATTGAGATAAGGATGGAGGATATGTTCCAATTAACAGAGTAAGGAAATCCTTGAATTATAGACATAGTAGTAACTTGATATATCTTCTTTTAGGAGCATTACTATCTGTGAGGATAAAATGGTTTCACCATGAAGTTGGTATTCTTCAGTTGATGATATCTATTAACTACAAGGAATAATACTATAACTGATCCGATAATTTCAGAAGTAAATGAGCCAAGTAATATACACTTGCTGAATTGAAGTAATTAGTAATGAAAGCTGAGCAGACGGGGGGATGGATTCATGAAACTGTCGCTTGGATACCCTGCTTTCGCCTTTCAAAAAAAACAAAAAGATACCCTGTTTTCTTAAACAAGTTATCTGCTTCTTTGAATCAGTTACCTGCTACCTTGAAAGAAAAAACCAGTACGTTGATACTTAATGGGTTTATATTTTAGACTTGGCTTCTTGGAGAAACATAAAGTTTGTGACAAAGTTGGTTTTGAACTATTGAGCAAATATCAAGATTAATTATCTGCCGCAACTGGTGATCTGATTTTATGTTAATTGGTTGGCAATGCCCATGGAATGGAGATATAGTAATTTTGTTTCTACTAAAACTACATACGTTGTATTCAATTCTGAAAAGGCGCTAAGCAACTCATGGTCTTAATATCATCTAGCTCAAACTATGCATTTATGTTTCCAGATGCTATTGAATTGTTTTTCTAGTATAGAAAAATTGACTAGATTATCCTGCAGAAATGAAGGTGAGGTCGTCAGTAAAGAAAATGTGTGAATTCTGTAGAACAGTGAAGCGTCGTGGCAGAGTATTTGTTTTGTGCTCAGCAAATCCCAAGCATAAACAGAGGCAAGGCCTTTCAACAATTTCTTTCGAGGAAGGTCCACTTACATCCAGGTATTCCTTATATTGATTTTAGTTTCTAGGTTTTGAGGCATTTGGTTCAACTTGATAGCAGTTTAATGATTCAACCAAAGGGAACTGACGCACATTAATTTTTTTTATGGATTTTCTTCAGCTCAAGTTCTTGATATGCCGGGCTTTTGTTCCTATAATTAACTGTATCATATGAAGTCTTAGGATATCTGAAGTTGGTTACAACGGATCTTTAGACCGTCCTTTCATTCATCTTGTTGACTAAGCTTGTAGTCTTAGATTCAAAATCCATGTTCGCAGTATGTTCACTCCTAAAATAGATATATCCTACGGAGTATTTTGGATGTTTGAAGTTGGTTATGATATAATTTCAAAGTTGCCATAGATTCTATAAGGTGTCACAATAGAAGGTTTTTTGGTTGGAACGTTATTACAATTCACTCTTGTCTGGTGACATGTACATTTTTTATCTTATATTGTGTGTTTTCACATGTCATCTTGCTGTTTCTCCACCTGGCCACTTCAGAAGAATTAGATTAGAAGATGCTCCAAACATTAAGTAGATAATACTAAAATGGTTGCTTCAGGATAATATCAACGGTTTCTTCTTTTGATTTGTGTTATTAAGGTTGCCATAATAAAATGGAGGTAAATTAGATGTGTATTGGATCAAGATATCTCACTAAACTTATCTTGAATGAAACCACAACTCCTTCACAAATTATCAGAAAGTCAAAAATCCAAAGCATCACTATAAATGTGATAAAGATGCAGCACCTGTTGCTAGTTCGAAAGGAACTGCAGTTGGGTAAGAGTTGAAACTTTCAAAAATCCTAAATATAGATGGGAGTAATCCGATAGTCCTTAACATGATGGGATCAGATATCTAATGAGTATTTTCTTCCTAGATTCTTTGCTTACAATCTTGCCTTATTGATATATTCCAAGATTCTGGGCAGTGTTCTCTTGGTTACTTTTTATCATTGGTTGCTTAGTCTCAATCATGAGTTTTTTTGGGTCTACCTATGAAAGCAGTTCTATAACTATTAATATGTACCTTTTGCCCACAGGATCTTATCACATGTTAAGGTAATGAGAAAAATCATATCACATTAACTCTTCTGTTATAGCGGTCCAATGTGGTAGTTGTCTGTCTTATGGGCATCCCATGTTAGTAAACCTCAATCCTAGAAAATTGTCGGGTTGTTCATGATACACCTCACTTTGTTCGCTGTTGGCATATTTTTAATGATTCTTGTGCCTTCCAAGTCTATAAGTTTAGTGCCAACTTATATCTGAGAATTGCTTCAAGTGTTAAAAGTTGTATATATTGATGGGCAAGTCGATAATCATGAATTTAAAGTGGTTCTTGTGCATCCGGAAGCACATATTATTCCTCCTGTCCATATAATATATGCAAGTAATGACAGAAATTGGTTAACCAAAATCATTGTTTTGTAACACTTGCTAGTGAACATGAGGTAATTATAAATCAGACTTTGCCAAAAAGGAAATATTGCATATATTATGGGCTATCTCCAAAATACATTGTTGAATTCACTTTGAGACTTGGGGGAATACCATGTACGTTGACAGAAATTAGAAATGATGTAATTTGATATGATTACAAAGTATTATTGTAACATTTGCTCCACAAGTCCAAAAGAATTGCTACTTGGGATTTAGCAGAGCATTTCAGTTTCCAGTACACTCGATCATCTCAGAAGTCTTCATTATACACATATGATCCGTGTTTCTTTCAGGGTACACGTTCGATCTGCGTATTTTGACATAAAATCTAGAAAGCTATGTCCGTTAATAAAAAATGTTTCAAACCTTTCGTGTTTTGATTACTGCCTGTGTTTTTGGATTACAGAATATCAGAAATGCAGATGACTAGAAGCAGTTATCAAGCCAAGGATGCTCCAAACTATGGCGGTATTGGAGGCGGGTTGGCATCTCTACTAGTCGAGAGGAAGGTGCCGGCACTATTTGCTGGATGGAGAGTCAGCCTCGCCTCTCTTCTTCAGACACGTGCCAAGTGATGATAATATTCATAGACTGAAAATGGTAATCTTTGCTTCCAGAAGAAATTATAAGTGCTCATTGGGTAACTTATGATCAGTCTTCTTGCATAAAATTTCATCTTTTTCTATAAAGCATGGGGATATTGAATAATGGGGTCTAAACTTTGTAGGAGCATCCATTTTTTGTGTTGCTAGGTTCATACCTGCCTTCTGCAAGATGTTTTCTTTTCAGGGATCACTTGCGCAAACTAACCTTTGGGGGTCAACTTAACTGGTGAACATAGGTCACGAGTTCGATCCTCTTAAAAATCATTGGGGATTTCTACCATCTGTTATCTTTAGACTCCAGTGGGATTGGTTGAGCTGCTCATAAGCTCGTCCGATTACCCACAATTAAAGAATAATTTTTAAGCCTCTTGACATGATTGGGAAAAAATGTTGTAACCGGTTCTTCCTGTTTCAGTCCTCCACCGTCTAAGTGTAAAATGGTGGTGTAATCGGAGTTCGTAACCGGCCTATCTATCTATTATAGTTATTAAAGTAAGAACCAAGATAATGTGTTGTCATCATAAGATTTGAGTATTATATAAAACTTGAAATATGGTTGATTTTAATAATCTCACATCGGTGGAGAAATGAAAATTTAGAAGGAAATGGGTTTATATCAAAGGAGAAAAGGATTCCTTTAGGAATTTGGTGGAATTGAAAGGAATTGGAATGTACAATCCTTTGACCAAATTTCAAATATGATGTTTGGTTCACATATTATAAGCGAAGGAATCCTTTCAATTCCTACAAATTCATTCGGTCACCGATTTCACAATTCCACTTGATGTACCAAGGATTTCAAATTCCTTTCCTACAAATTCCTTAGCCCTCATCCAAATTTCAGATATTAGTAATATAAGTGAACAATTTCAAATTTTATCTGATGTTAATAATGTAATTTGGTTTAATGGTAATTTTAATTTAAAAAAAATGACAAAATAATCATAAAAGGTCACTTGTTGATATTTAATTTCTGATTCCAAAGTTGAATTCCGTGAACCAAATAAAAAAATATTCCAATTCTGTTAAGAATTCCATTCTAATTCCATGCAATCAAATGCAATCACAGGCCATGGTCAAATTCTATCAGATTCAATTTCATTTCTTCAAAGTCAAATTTATTTGATGAATTCCAATTCCATTGAATTTCATTCTACGAACCAAACGTCCTCATAGGATTGGCTCATTTTAGCCGGTCACTTATTTTTTTTTTTGTGTGGCAAAAAGTCTTCCTATAAAGGCCGACTCATTTTAGCCGCCTATCATTTTGCAAAAAACTTATTAATCTACATATATTAGTAAATGAATGATATGACATTATAATAATTGAGTATTCTCAAATATTGAAATGTGGTGTTGGATTTGGTTATTCTAGGTTGGTTGGAAGATGTTAAATTGAAAGAAAGATAAACGAGTATATGTTAATAAAAGATGGGATGTATTTGTTACCATTTACTGAGTTCACTTTAGATAACACTTATTTTCCAATATATGATATATGGATGATGGGTCAAATTGATATAACCCGAAATTGGATTTTGGTCTATTTGAGGGTAAATCTTAATCTAAATTTTTAGTCGGCAAATTCGTTCCTAAACTTAATTTATTTTGTAGAACACCCTAGGGTATGCACATTTTCATGGTTTGGGTCTTTTGACCAAACGACAGTTGATCTAGTCTGTTAAAAAAGAGGGTAACATGATCCTTATATATTTTTGCTCATTTTTAATGGGTTCTTTTATTTTATTTTTATTAATGTGCTTGGTTGTTCATCTTCCTCATAAACACCAAAAAAAATCCTAAACCGAATCGAAGTAAAAAACAGTCACATACCAAATCAACCCTAAGATTCATCTGAATCATTTTCAATCTCCATCTCATCTAATATCATCGACTACCATGATCCATGCAAAATTATTTGCCAACTCTCTAATCTCATCGTTGAACTACCATCGACATATCTGAACTCGTCAACCACGTTTGGAGCTTTAACCAGATCTATTTAGTTCTCTAGGTTGTCGATGTTTGGTCTAAGGCTGCAGGTGGTGTTTTCCGGTTGTCAAATCTCCATCTCCATTTCATCGTTGAACCTCCACCTTCAGATCTGTTCCGTTGTCCAGGTTAAGCCGTTTGGTGTATAGTTGTCAGCGGTCTTTCTCGTTTATGCTTGCCTTCGTCTCCATCATTTGGTTCTTCGTCAAAAAGACCATCAAGCTACCCAGATAAGTTTTCCTATCAAGAACTACTTAGCTACCCTCTCAGTTATGAAGATCTGGCTTTTGTTGCCTACTTATCAAACACATATGTGGCTTTATTATGGGTTTTCTTCTGGCTACCCAGATCTAGTTCTTGTGGTTTTTTCTGGGTTTTTTAGTTATCCAAGTTTTTGATTGAGGGGTTTGATTTAATTTTTGGACTCAAGATTTGATTAGCTTTTTTGTTTTAGGATTTGATTTATGTTTCTATTACAAACTTTTGGAATCACATTATTACTAAATGTTTTAATGATTTATGGTTTACATGATTTTATGTTGCATAATTCGTCATGATGTTCTTGAATATGTACAAGTTTATTCATGATATTCTTCATTCTCAACATGAAGAAGATGAATATTCAAACAAAAAAATAAAGAAATTGTTAAAAAGCAAGAGAACAACAAAAAGACCATTTTGCTCTCGACATTAAGACAGGACAAACTGTTGTTTGGTCTAAAAACCAAAACCGTGAAAAAGTACATACTCTCGGGTGTTATCTATATCTATACTACCTTATAAAATAGATATATCAAAAGTCATAAAATCAATTTTTAATGCATAAAGTACTATACATTTATACACAAAATCTTAGAAACAGCTCATATTGCATTAAGTATGTTGGAACCCAGATTCCTCTTAATTGCATAGAACACAGTAAAATTAGAGTATGAGTAGAATGGTAACTGTGTAACTGAAATGGTCTAACAAAATATTCAAGATAAAAGTGGGAATGCAAAACAGACTTGAATAAGTCAGAAGCTTTTATTAGATGAAAAGTAGTAACAATAAAACTCTCAGTTTAATTGTATTCTCACAAGAATTCTCTATTCTAGAGCCTAGTCTAATTTGGCACTTTCAGGTAACTCGTAACCTGAGGAGAATGCCTCCTTTTATACGACTAAGCTAAAACATAATCTCCTAGAATCTTGGCTTGGAACTCTGAGTTCTTATTTCGCATTCTTATCGTTCACGTTCCTTGGAAAGTGGAATGGACTGAGTCAAGTGTTCTAGGTTCTGTTAGGAGTCTTGCGAGAAAGTTTGAACCGTACGCGCAATACATGGGAGTAGAAGACTCAGAGGCTCTGCATGTATCATGCAGAGGCTCTGTGTCTTGACTGATGCCCTGCATCAATCACTTAACCTTTTTGGCACTTAAGTCTTGATCTTCCCTGGAGTAGAGCACGACCTCTGTATATGAGACACTTAGCTCTTGAGTTAGAGCTCTGTTTGTTGATATCTTCTGCTTAAGAGTTCTTGGTTCAGACCGCTTTGAAAGACTAAGTCCTAAAGACTAGAGTAAGAGACTTCTTCCTTACACTTTTACAAGATGAGATCTAACAATCTCTCCGTAAGTGTAAATAAGACAAACTCTTACTAAAATGAAAATACAAGTCTAATCGAAGCCAGAGCTAATAAAAAGACCTCTGTATTACATTGACTATCTAAAGTTTTTACAATATGATGAAAAGAAATTATATGACTTGAAATTAAAAACAAAATATAGCTATTACTTACAAGGGTAGAGGCCTAGATATGTTGGAGCTTCATGAACCTCCTGAGAAGCTCACGAGACTCTAATACATTATCGATATATCTGACTAGGTTGCTCGTCCTCTCCTTTGCGCCAGGGGTTGTATCTCTGCTTCTTAAAAGATTGTTCTTGATGTACCGCAAAGTTGAATTAGAATACTTGAAGCGCTGGTCCTCACGGAAGAACACCTTTTTGCCTTGTTCATTCTTGAAGACTACCCTGTGTTCTAGCTCCACCAACACCATCCAAGAGGGGATATGCTTAATGCCTTCAAAGTCTTTGTTAGGCCTGTGACACTTAGCTGGTCTATCCCTAGATCCAGAGCAATTTGGAAGTCGAGCTTACTCCGGTAGTCAAGAAGGTCCGTCATTGTTTGTCGTATCGCGGAGTTAGCCAGAGCATATTTAATACCTTTGTCCTTCATGTGGTCCATGAACAAATATAGAGACAACAGATCACAGGGATTAAGATTTATAAGATCGCATTCCGTGAAGGTGCAGATCTGCCCATGGGATCTTTCTATCGTATACTCGTGGAAGATTATTTGATTGTGGGCAAAGGTCCTATTTCTAATGTCCAAAATCTGCTTGATGCTGTCCATAGAGTGAATAGATTGGCTGAGTGAATTGACGGATGAACATCTGCGTTATATTTTCCTGAGCCATCGGATGAAGGTTGATCTTCTGAGTAGGCACCTCATTCCTCTGGCTGTATACGTATTGAAATAAGTCTTCACTATCGGCAGTGTCTTTGATTGGCTTCTCTCGTGGTATGGGCTTCATCATCATATCCATTTGGTCCTTTATCTCTTGTACTCGATCAAAGGATGGTTTGGAGCTCCAAGGTCCGCTGCTGCTTGTTGGCTCGCTCTGGCTGGACCCTCCTGCCTTAGAGCAGGCGTAACGACTTTGGTCCCTTGAACGGGGATCCTTGCTCTGTGAGTCTGGCGGTGTGGTGGTGGCGCGACGACTGTTACCTGGGCGGCTAGTGGTATAACCATTGAAGGAGGAGCATTCTCTGTTCTACGTTGCTTCCTCTCTGACTCCATGACATTCACCACTACCACCTCTTCTTTATCAATCCTCGTGGGTGGAGCGGTTTCCATGAAGTACTCCGCGGATGATGAGAGGCTCAATGATGATAAAGAGGCATAAATAGAAAGAAGCTTGATGAATTCCTCTTCATCAGCCATTTGCCCTGCTTGGGTGGTACTCCAGGTGCAGCCGACATTGTTTCTTCTCTGACTGCCTCCTCTTGTTTGTGCACAGCCCTAGATGTTTGTTGGGATGGAGCACGAGCTTGCTATTTATGAGTGGAGGCAGAGGGGGCAGCAAGAGGGATAGCACTTGTTGTTGCAGTAGGCTGTTTCTCCCCCTCTTGACGCTTTTTGAGGACCACACTGG